GTTCATGATGTATGCATCCAATGTTGTTCAAGTACCCTTTATTATTTTTAATAAGCATTTGTCAGTGTCTTTTTCAGCTTTTATCGATATAGCATTTTCATTTTTTTTTCAGACGTCAATTGATGAATCAGGACGAATAGTTTTGGAACTACATAATTGAAACTTTGCATGCTTATTTATATTGACATTCTCTACTTAATGATGGATGGTTTGTAAACAAATATCTTAAAGGAGAATTTTTCAGAATTTTTTTTTTTATTTATTTTTATTATTAGGTTCGTGTGTTAATTTTTTTTTTCTGTCTTAGTTTTCTAATTGTTTTTTAATTCATGAATGATATATGTACATGGTGTATGCATCCTATATCGTTCATGCAGCCCTCTAATTTTAAAAAACCACAATTTTATACTTTTTTTCATTTTTCTCAATTTTGCATTTTACGGATTTTTAAGGAACGCCAAATGAATTGGGAGGAAAAGTATTCTAGCTACCGCCTCCAAACATTGCATGCTTCTTTTCATTGATATTCTTTACAAAATTCAAGAGGCTTTTTTTATATACCGAGTATATCCAACTAGAAAAGTTTTATAACATTTTTACATTTGCTACTCCTGAAGAGTTCTCGAATATTTATGTGACCCCCACATACATGCCATTTGTAACACTTCCAATAACTGCTGTGTTATAAGCTTCTTTAAACTTTATGTCAATGTTATTCTTAATGTGTATGCCAAGTTTCATTTAAAATACAGTACAATAAGTTACAATACAATGCAATACAAATTTGTCTTTATTCATTTTGCGTAAAAGTCAAAATTGGTAAAAAAATTTAAATTTTTTGCAATAAAAGTCACAACAATTTTTTTTAAAATAAACTTTAGTGGATTTTTGTCTTTCTGTTTGTGTATGGTTTGTATGTACTATATTTTTTTCAATGGCTCTATTTATTTAGGGTTATCAGTATTTTATTTTCAATGATGCATGACTTAGTTGCCTTGAAACCTAACTCCCTTCACAGATCACATATATTTGCTTTCACTCAATCATTACTTCTGTACTTGAAGAAATGATACAAACAATAGTTAACTGTACAGGTACCAACAAGAAATGTGAGAAAGTAAAAGGAGACAAATGGCAAAGGAATTATGTGACCTCATTGAATGAGTTTATTGGCTGCCTACTCCTTACTGGCCCCTAATTTATTTTATAGATTACTTAAGTACACAACTCAAATAACTAACAATCAAACAAAAATGTTCTCAAGTCAGTTAAGGTTTTTTTTTTCCTCTAAAAACAAGATATGTTTCAAAACAACGGAATGAGATTGATATATAATTGATTTTCTTGGGTAAATACATGTCGGAGGTAGGAAATAAGATGTGTATAGTTTTAAGTGGATGACAACATCGTTAACTCCTATGATATTCCCTTTAAAAAAAAAAGAGATGTTACATTCTCTGTTTACAAATATGGGTAATTTCATTTTGCCCATGGCAATACAAGATACACCTCAAAATAACGGGAATGAATTTGATCAATAATTAAACTTTTTGGTTACATTCATATCGGTGGTAGGAAAAGGGATGTTTTTACGTGGTTGACAATATATTTAAATCCTACATTTGTAAAAAAAGAGATGTTTTAATTCTCTTTTTACAAATAAACATAGGTTTACCAATTAAGAAAATCAATGGTGTTAACAAATCTTGGGTATATTTATATAAGCATTCCCTTAAATATCAAAACCCAATTATTTTACACAATGGAAGAAGTAATTTGAAAAAAAGAGATGGTTCAATATTTACTTTCAAAAAATGAAACTATAATTTTGTTTTTACTTTGCAAAAAGTAAAGAGTTGTGTATTTTTATGAGATGAACAATTCAAATTATGTTAAAAGATACTCAAGTCTGTTTTAGGGGTGAAAAATGGTTGCGAGATTCTTGTTAAGATAAAATAATTCTTTGTTTTACGAGTCTCTGATAATATATATATATTTTTTTTTAAAGGCATAAATATGTTTAAATTTTTGATGAAGATATCAATATATATCGAATTCCTGTCATATAAAATATACTTATATCATTGATATAGTTTTTGATGTAAATTTAAGAATAGTTTTTTTAAATAATTTTTTGAGAAAAAAAAATGTAATTCAAGGGCACGAAAAAGGGTAAATATAAAGTATTTCTCTAGCGTAGTAATTGTCCCTCAATTGACTCCTTTAGTGACAAAAGTGATATAAGTAGTGATAAGTTAGACGGGGTATTTTAAGGACATGTTTAGAGGGGAAAAAAGTAGTTTAGGAACGGGAAAGGTAGTAAGGTAGGCTTAAATTATTATATAACAGATAAATACTTCTCAAAACTTAATGATGTTAGAAATGTAAATATCATTATATTTTTAAAGTTATGGATTATGATAAGTTTTTGCAATAGCACTTAGAAATTTACGCAAAGAACCTATCATTATTATCCGGATAATATCAGGTCATTTATTCTAGGTATATTATAATGGCTGAAAAGCTATCTTTCTCTCCGGAATTATTTTCCACGTTCTGACGGAATTATCTATTTTGCGTTTTTGGAACGCACTACTATGTTGTCTCTAAACCTTCATAACTTTTTTGTTTTTCATCAGCAAGTGCTAAGTGTGGTATGGAATTAAAGGAGAATGTATGCCCTTTACAAGCAAACCAGACTTGGGTTTACATTTCAATATATAAATGTGATTATCATTTCTGAAAAATAAAAATTAAAGATAAAAAACTTACCAACTGTTCACAAAACACCCATTCCAAGTCACACGAGGAGAAATATATAATCCAAAGTGTAACAAAAATGTGTTTTTTCTGAACTATATCCATATGTGCATCACAAATAATAAGGATCAACTTAAAAAACTAATAAAATTAAACCTCAGAGCACATTATCCATTGTCACCGTCACACAAATTTTTTTTTTTACTATTTCCACTGGAAACAATTTGTTGCTATTACTATTATAAAATATTTGCACAGTATTCTTGTATGTACTAACATTTATATAATATAATGGTAACATTTACCATATATTTGTCATATCTTTCCATCTGTATTTAGCTATGATAAGCCTAAAAACAATTCATATTGATGTGCACTTTAGCTGGGGGAGAGGCTGGTTGTTCATCAGCTGATAAATTACCAATTTCATTATTTCGTCACTAGTACTATTACTACTTAGTCTTAGACTTGTTAACTATTACTATTACTAGGATTATAATCATACTATTCAAAGGAATCAGCTTCTGCGTTTGAAATAATAAAATCACTGTCTGAATCATCATCAGAGTAATATTTTCCACCTTTATTAGATCCGTCACCAGATGGGTCAGGTCAAGATTTCATGTTTGTAAACAAAAATAAAATGGACAATCAAATCGACCGCTTCAAAAAATTCGTTCCTCGTTCAAACACAGTAAAACCGGATGTTCATGTAAGGGAAATCATTCTAGAATTGATTTAAAATAACTAAATACCAATAGCTAAGAAAAGAACCGAAACAAACAGGTTTTTATACATCGACGATGCCATCGTCGATACGCCAAAATCTTCATTTCAAATCGACGATGGGAGCGTTGTTCCGGAGAGAAAGATGGATGAACTCTTTTTTTCAAGTATAGATTTTTTTCTTTATTTGTTAGCTGATGATGCGTGTGAGATCGGAAAAAGGAAAGAATTTTTATTTTTTTAAACAACCATTTAAAAAAATATATGTATTTAATTTAAAAGAATAAATTTTATGACTTTGACATAAACTTTTTGAAATATAATGTAAAAAAAAAAAGCTAGATTTATTTAAATGTTTAAATTAATTTTAAACATCATTAAATGAATAATGTAAAGTGACAACAAAATAAATAAACCAGCGTTGTTTATGTGACACATCAAATTTCCCATTTGTCTACAATGTCATGAGTGGACTTTCACTCCGTTTGTGACATTATGTTATGTCACGTGCGTGACCTGTCACGTGTGTGTCACTCCTGTGCGTCTGCCTGGTGTTACTGTGTGGATCCACTAGAGTGTGTCTTTGCCCTTGTGCATCGATGCCGAGTCACCAAGTTGTGCCACGGGTCTATGTCAACGGGCTGGGCCTTTTTGTGATGATACTGATCATTTTGGTTGATTAGACGTGAATCTCGCATCTGATTTCTTCTTATAAATTTATAGACACATTAAAATAATTATTGCGATTACTTGAATATTATTGTTAAGTGAACGAAGAAAGAATAATGTAATACGTAGTCACCAAATACATTGATAAATGGTTATTTAGCTCAATAGTAAAAACGAAGGGTGGGAAAACCAGTAAGACCGTTTTATAGTTCATGTATACGCTTCATTTTTTGTGCTGATTGTTTTGCAATTTCGCAATAATGAGTATCGAACGTGTCTCAACCTACATTCTCCAAACGTTTGTGCCATGTGTTAAAGACTATCAAACAAGCAGGGTTTCTTTCAGCTATATCTCGGGGAGGGGGGGGGAGAGTGAACACCCCCCCCCCTCGGGGAAAGTGAAGTGCCCTCCGAAGCAAAAATATGTCCAACAAGGGTTTCTTTCAGCTATATCTCGGGGGGGGGGGGGGAGAGTGAACACCCCCCCCCCCTCGGGGAAAGTGAAGTGCCCTCCGAAGCAAAAATATGTCCAACGTTAAATCAACTGGAACTGCTGGCACTGCCCCCCCCCCGAAAAATCTGAAGTGCCCCCCCCCACCAGGGGGGAAAATTTCTGAAAGAAACACTGCAAGCAAGTATTGCGAAAAGATTACAAAATATTATTATATCATGCCCTATTTAACTTTTAATTTCCCAGCATGTAGAGATAAAGAGAGTCAAACTTCGATAAGAATCCGGCTTAAAAGGGGAAAAAAGCGATATTATTATTTTTAAGAAATATCAACAGCAGCTAACATATTTTGTAACAAGAAATAAAACAAAACAAAACTGAATTTTAAAAAATTGGACTGATATGATATTTTATGATAATCTGCATCTGGATTTCTTTTTATTTGAGACTTTCTTCAACGTTTCATCCAGTAATCTCTTGCACTCTAGATATAACGCCATTTGATCTCTTTTTAGCTGGGCTTCTTTCCTGAGTCTGTCTTCACGTTCATTCCTTTCAAACATAAATTTAAGGGCAACATTTTGTGTCTCTAACAGTTTGCCATTCAATGTTTTAATTCGTTCCTCTTTTTCAAATAGAGCCCTGTCTTTGTCATCATCCCTGCTTTGGCTTTTGTCATGATGTCTCGGTTCAAGTGCTGGTGGTTTAGAACATGCAACTTGATCAAATTTCTGTGAAATGCGTTTGGCTGTTTCAGTCTTTGAACACGGAACCTGTAATTGATTAAAATCTGAGTAAATTGGATCATATTCCTCTTCTTCTGTCGGATTGCGTTGCTCTATTTCCCGATACTCCAAACCTTGGTCTCTCTTCTTTGAATAACCTTCAGGAAATACTTTGGTCTCATTTTCAATATCGTGATGCTTCTGGGACTGATCTTGTTTTTGGTTGTCGAATTCCTCAAGCAATTCGATTTTATCTGCTATCAATGCCAACAAACCGTCCACTGTATCAATCGCTTCTTTGAGGATGCCAGTTCCTCTGTCATTGTCTACTATGTAAATTTGAAGAGCGTTTGTGCTTTTGTTAAGCTCAATGAGTTTAACTCTCTGATCTTCCACCTCTAGGCTGCAGATCTCTTCGAGGTCCTGCATTATAAAATTGGCTTGAATCACTGTATCTTCCATAATCATGGGCTCTTTGCATTCCAAGAAACATTTTTCGCGTTCTGCTGCCATTTCTTCAAAATATTTATCAGTGTATCGTCTTCCCCCAGACTGCAAATTATCAACGGTCTCAATCAATTTTTTAACTTGATTGTACCTCACGTTTAAGTCTTTTGTCTTGTTGTCAAACAACAAGACCCGATTGTTGCACTCTTGTAAAAGTTCTCGAAATATACCGTCCTGCTCGTCACACCATGTCGAAAATTCTTTGTCTTCATTATCTTCGATATATCTATCTCCAGAAGTCACTAAAAGTATACAAAAATTCTGGACAAAGTCTCGGCCAAATATGCTTTTTAGCATTTTAATGCAGAAATGGTCTTCAGCTGTAAATCGGTTCCCATATTTTACAACGAGGAGAAACGCGTGGTAGCCGGCTGGACTAAATGTTACCGCATGCTTCATCTTCTCAACAATGAACTGGGTGGCCTTGTCAAAGTCTTTAATGTTGTCGGTGTCCGCCACACCAGGCCCGTCAACTATTTTCAGGCAACAGTCTTCAAATCTGGCCCATTCGTAATCCACTTCCTTTGTAACTGACTTAAGACTTGGGGAACTCTTAAATACATTCCGCCCGAGGATCATATTACCGGTCGCACTCTTGCCATTGCCAGTTTTACCAATCAGCAGTATGTCCAAATCTCTCAGTTGTTTGGAGTATCTAACAGAACACTGAAAATAAGGAATAATACTATTCACAACTAACAACTATTTTGCTAAATTATATACATGCTAAACTTAAAAACTAATATCACCAAAAGTTAATGAATATTTAAAATGTGTTATTTTTAGCATGTCTATTTTAGAATGTAACACCGCTGAAAATGTGTCTTTCCAACTTATATCTTAAAATATGCTTCTGTTGCTCAAACTTCAGTTGGTGGATTTTTAAGACTCCCGATTGAATCAACTTAAGCTGAAAATTAAACTTCGCAAGAAATTTATATCTGGTTAAAGATTATTTTTATTTATCCATTTTAAATTTGCCAACACAAGCTAAAAACCCACAATGAAATTAACATTTATGTGATCATCGGTGACTTACATCAGTTGAAGTTGATACAGTTTCAACTTCAGCCTCGCTGTTCATTGATGTATTCGTCATGGGTTTAAGCTCTGTAAATAATTTTTTTTATTAAAGTAAGTCATTTGGTTAGATCTTATGTTGTAATTATTTGAAAAAGTATAATATATTTGCAGAAACTGTTACTAACGAAAGTGTGAACAATTAAGATAAATATCTCTCAAAGAAATGCAGATGTAATTATATTTTTTATATGAATTTTTAGGGTGCATGGTAAAGTGTTATTGCCAATGAAAGTACGAAAATACAGTTAAACGGTAGGCCTATACTTTGAGAGTTGCAATGTGTTTACATTTTTTTTTTTAAAAAAAGGAAAGATTAGATCTTCCTTGTCAAAATCCTTTTTTTTTTTTTTTTTTTAATTTTAGTTTTTAAAAAAAATAAAAATAAACCATAAAGTTAAAGCGGTTTTTAAAAAATGAAATATGAATTTTACAAACTTTCCACATAAAAATTATGCAATGTGTTTACATTTTTTTTTTTAAAAAAAGGAAAGATTAGATCTTCCTTGTCAAAATCCTTTTTTTTTTTTTTTGTTAATTATAGTTTTTAAAAAAAATGAAAATAAACCATAAAGTTAAAGCGGTTTTTAAAAAATGAAATATGAATTTTACAAACTTTCCACATAAAAATTCATACGCTCAAAAGCTTAATGTAAAAACACTTGTTAGTTACGACTTCGATTGATCATAATCCTTTTAATAAACGAAGGGTTCAGGGGAGAAACCGGTGAATACAGGTTTCCTGTGTTTTGTGAAGATTTGATTGTTAAGTTTGAAAACTACTACTACTACTAATTTCTCAATATTTTTTTAATTGACTACGCTCTTTTTTTTTTTTTTTTTTTTTTTTCACTTTGGCCTTTGTTTATTTTTATTTTTCTTTTTTTTTTTTATTTACTTCGCTTTTTTTTTTTTTTTTTTTTTTTTTTTCACTTTGGCCTATGTGCTATATGATTCGACTGAATGGAATGTAGCCACATGGGACGCAACTTTCACATTTCAAAATAAACTGACATCACTGCTTCAACATTTCCCTATTTAGTCTTTTTAATAATCAAAAATAGTTTTTAATTTTTTTTTTTTTAAAGAATATTTATGAATGCTTCCTGACCTGTTATTCGCCTTTGTTCCACAGAAACGGTCTCTGATTCGTTGCCGGGTTGTCCAATTTTATTCACAAATATTTTACAGGCCATTTTATTATTTGGGTCATCAGTATTGCACCTGGCAAGTTCCACGATTTCTATGACCTCTTTACAGTGCAGCTATATTGGAAAAAAAAATATTTTTTAAAATCTTTAAAAAAATTAAACATATTGATTATTGTGCAAGGTTTATTGCTTTTAGAGTTGAGCCAATGTGAAAGTTACTCACGCAAAACAGAAACAGCAATTTATTTACCTTACTACAATATAAAGGTAACAAGTCTTACAATTTATAACTAAACTGAAGTAGCAGTTCTACTTTACCTGATTACGGATTTCAGAATTCTCCGCTAATTTCGTAAACTCATCAAGAAGGGTCCACGCATGAAAGCCGGATTTACTGGTTCCTTCAGCATTTTCAAATACGTCTCGGAGTAAATGGATACAAACGATGACAACAGATCCTGAAATGTGTTTGTGGCATTGGTGTTTAAAACGTACAGACATAGATTTAGCATCGACTGTGTAACGTGTTCTAGTTGTAAAGAATATTTAAGCACGCCTACTTCAACTTTTAATTAGGTTTTATTGTGATTGGAATTAAGTTTTTGACACATGTTATTGATCCTTTACAAGTCAACAGGCAAAAAAAAAATGTTTCTTTTTTGCACCACAGCTTCCACATGCGTGACTATTTAAGAGATAAAATGAACTTAGGTCGGTGAAGACGTATGCGCTTCAAGGGGGTCGTTGACACATTTCTACGGTGGATACATTTTTCGAGTAGGGAATATTTGTTACAGCTACAGTTTGTGTGGGTATGTTCAACATAGCTCAGTTGAATTTAGTTTTGGAATAAATAAAATAATTCTTTAGAAAACAGCCAACAAACAATATAACAGCGGAATAGAGTTTAAAAATATCCCATCACTTAGCTGAGAAGCAATATTTCCCTAAACATACTTGACCACTTCCTGAACAGTACTATTTACTAACCTGTTCAAGCTATTACTTTAGGAGAAAAGACTAATAAATAAGAAGTCTATTACGTTTTCTTTTGAAAGTGTCATTTTTAATTTTAATAGGACTCAAAATATTTTGTTAAAAATTAAAAATCTGCTAATAAAACTACAAATAAACCTTATTTTCTGGTTCTTTACGAGCAAAACTAAAGCTGTCTCCAGCATCCTTGACATTATCGCACTGGTGGCGACACATAGTTTATCATCATGACACACGGATACTTACTACATCATTCTGTCCATTCCAATGTGTAAAAAAAAAGTGCAGTTTTCAGTTGCAGATATCAGCAAATGCATTAATATATTGGGTTTTGTTCATTAATAATTTGGGACATTAAGCTTAAAGCTGATAAATTGGTCGATATGTGAGGAGGAATCAAAGATTTGTCTAATATAACCAACCATTTCTTTTGCAATCAAAGATGTAGCTAATATAATCACAGTTTTATCTAATAAAATCAAATATTTATCTTTTGTAATCAAATATTTATCTTTTATATATATATATATATATATATATAAACGCAACCATTTATCTACTGAATATACCGATAATGTTCCCCGGGGGGAGAGGGGGGGGGCATTTTCAGAGGTTAATCCGTTTGTCATGAAGTCAAGATACAAAGACGAACACATGAGAAACTTTCTTCCCCCTTTCAATGAGCCAACGAAAAAATTGATGGAGTTAAATGGAGGACTAAATTATTACGAATAGCATTCAAATACATCAGTACGCTAGGGCGTGCCAAACCGATAGAGGAAGTAACAAGCGCAATGTTGAGGGTGCAAACTGGTGACCAGATATCAGAAAAGAAAGCAGGTCAGTTTTGACCTTTTGCACTCATCATCGAACACCCATATCCGATTCAACATAGCCCCCCCCCCACCAAAAAAAAAAGTTTCTGTTTACCTGTGTTGATTTTAAGCTTCTTGATAACTGTAGGGCTGTAGAAATATGTCAGTGTCAGCAGTGAAAGGACCTTCAAATAAGAGTCGTTATTGGCAACGACTTCTTCCAGTACCTGCAATAAAATGTATGTCAAATGTCAAATGTATTATAGTATATACAGAGGAGGATTTTTATCGTACTACCCATTCAATCGGCGTACCAGCTTCATTTTTTAAAAAGGATTTTCCAAGTATGCCCTAAAATTTTACAATATAAATCTTCAGTAGGCCTCACACCATGTGTAAATCTGTCAACAATATATTCCTCGCGACGGTTCCCCTGTTAAAGGGGACAGTAAAATCCGTATTGTTGAAGCACGTATTTTCCATGTAACCCATGGTGAATCCCCTGATTATACCAGTGCTATCTCGAATCGTGAGGCAGCCTTGCGGTCCTGACACCATTGTAAACATGGCCACTGCCGTTTCTTCACCCAAGCCTGCTTACATGATAACGGAAGTGCCTCAATCACACTGTCAATCAGAAGAAGTCCTATGTCAACTTTCTAAATTGTATTCCTTGAATAAATACTTCACAGTATAGTTGCATAAAGTATAAAGTAATTCATTCCATCAGACGGAATAGGATCTATATGTATGGAGTCTTGGTTTGGCGAAATGA